GACGCAAGAGGATACGCTAGCGTCTTTGTTAAACTATTGAAAAGGGTAGCGATGTCTTCATCGCTCCCTACCGAAACCCTGAATACCCCTCTCTCTCTGAGAAGCACGACATCGTCGGCCGTGTCGATGAGGTTGTCCATGAGAAATGCGTAGGAAGTTACCGCGTTGTCTACGTCGAATATCTGCTCGTACGCCAGAAAATTGAGGAGGAGGGTTTCGGTGTTGTCCATGAACTCCAGGAACGGGAGCCTCAGGACGCCGTTGCTGAAGCTGATATCCTTGAAGCTGCTGGATTTGCTTCGGGCGAGGCGGACCCCTGACTGCTTTAACTTCGTCGCGGGCAGAACGCCGTGGCCGGAGTTGTAGAGGTAAGCACCTGCAGAGGTCCGACATTTCCTGTTTAAGTCCAGGTGGTGCATGCCCATATCGGTTATGCTGCCTTGGCCTGAATTGTTCTGGGTTAATCCTCTGAACAGGTTCTTGAAGGCTTGCTCGTCCTGCTCCTGTAGATAACAATAAGCAAACAGTTTCGATCGAAGTTGTAGATGGACAAGCATCAAACATGTGCTTTCATACATAGATGTAAACTTTTCAGTTACAATCAATGGTCTAAGTGACTAGCTAATTCAAGGGTACGTAGTTTCTCACATTGAGAAGCGAACCACGTAAATCTTGTGTGTTTGAGATTGTTTGATTTTCTCTCTTCTCTCCTAAATCTCTATTTCAAATCGCATCAGGGGGGTTGTGCATCCCCAACAGAAACAACCAACGGTCGGAATTGAAGTAGTGATCTCTTTACTATTTTTTTTGAGAGCGGAGAGGACTAATTAAGTAACTAGTGTTACCTCGTTACCGCCGTGCTCGATCAAGAAAGCCAGAACAAGCAAAGGCAGCTGGTTTTCAAGTCTCAGCATATCCATATTAACCCTAGTAACCATGTAAGGGCTCAAAGGTGTGTTTTTCCAAACCATTGCGTCCAGAAAGAAGCACCCGTCGAGTATCATCAGCTTCAAGAACCTCTCCTCGTCCCGCCACTGCTCATCAAGCTCGACGTACGAGCTCTTGATGCTCTCCAAGTGAGGCCTCATGGCTTCAGTGACTTGAGCCAGACTCTTATTGGCTTTATTGAGGTATTTGTAGAGAGCTTGGACCTTGTGGTAGTCCATGGCCCTTAGGCGGGCCTGGCCGTGGTGGTAAGGCCCCAAAGAGACGAGCTGAGGAGCGAAGGCGTCGACGGTGGTGAGTCCCTTCAGGACGTCCGGTACGCGAGAGATGCAGCGTCGCCGCGTCGCTTCTGCCTGCGGCGACGAAGGTAAGGAGCGAATGTCCCCGAGCTGCATGATCTGGACGTCGACGCGCGGCTCTCCTGTCTGTGACGACGAAGATAAGGAGTAAATCTCCTCGAGCTCGGCTTCAAGAGAATCAAGAATACTCCTCCCGTCCATGTTTATTATTATTATTATTATTTTTAATTTCTGAAGGTGTAAATGGAATGATGATGTTGATTTATAATTGGTGAAGAGCTAGCGCCGTACGTGCTCCTCGTATTTACTAAGAAAAATTACTAAGTAGTTGTGAGTTATTGTGTCTGGTAGGTAGGTACAAGATGCTAGCTGGTCTTCCTGTTGTTCGTTGAATCAAGAAGAAGAACAAAGTTGGGTAGATTCAGTAGGGTGTTTTACGCAAAACTTCCATAATTTGCGCAACTGTATTTGAGACCACCAAAAAAAAAAAAAAAAATCCGATGAGTATATACATACGTACGTACGTATATGCACACACGCGCATACACACAGAAATATGGATATGGAGAAAATTGTTCTTAGATCCGCTATTATATTTGACAAATAATGTATCTATTCAGAGTTTTTTTAATTAATGTATTTGACATGTCAGAAAGGATGAGGTTAGATTTATTAATGTATCTATTCAGAGTTTTTTTAATTAATGTATTTGACATGTCAGAAAGGATGAGGTTAGATTTATGGGAAAAATGTGTCCAGGCCCCAAAAGTGGGAACTTCGTGTGACTAGCCCCCTTGTACTTTGTCCCATGTGGAAAAGCCCAAAAAACGAGCTTTAATGTTTTAAGCCCCCTCCACGTCAGCTTTATACTAAAAGCAGATCGTATTTTAGAAAAAAGCCAAAACTGTCCTTCTCTTTCTTCCCAAGACAAGTCCTGGTCCCGAACAACAGAAGTCACTTCTCATTAATGCGATATGATGAGAAAAATAGAGGGAATTTCCCCCTTTTTTTTACTCCATCATGAGCAATAACTAGTTAGTTCTCCATTACTCCTCCTCAGACCAAAATTCTCTCCATTACTCTCTCCATTACTATCCCTTCAAAATAACTAGTTAGTTCTCCATACTATCCCTTCAAAATGGCTGAAAAGGACATCATCTGCATTGTCTCTTCGCGGTATAAAGCGGTATTCTTGAAGATTAATTCTTCAACCACCATCTTGGATCTCAAGTTTGATGTGGCAGAGAGGTTAGATCTTCCATATGAGCCATTAATTTTAGCATACGAAGATGAAACAGTTAGAAGCTTAAAATTTTCCATTGAGAACGATGGTGATCTGACGTCTATGGTGGAGCATTGCCACAATCTTGGACTGAAAGAGGTTCACGTGCAAGCGTTTAAAGAAGGAGATGATTCTTCGAATAAACAGGAAAAGGAGCAAGTCCGACAAGACATGTATGTTAACTGTAAAATCAATTAACTTAAGTTCTAATCGGTTTCTTGTTAGGTCTATGCTAGGTTTAAATGGCTGTAAAATCAATTAACTTAAGTTCTAATCGGTTTCTTGTTAGGTCTATGCTAGGTTTAAATGGACTTCAGTTCTAATGTTTTATTTGTCATTAAGCAGTTCTTTGTTATGCTCCATACTAGAGTTCTAATGTTTTATTTGTCAGTTCTAATCGCTATTTTGTTAGTTCTACTAGATTTGTCAGTTCTAATCGCTATTTTGTTAGTTCTACTAGAGTTATTGCTAGTTCCACTATAGTTCCCATATGCTGCAAGTGCTGCAAAGGTTGTTAGTTCTGATCTATGTCTTGTTAGTCCTAATAGTTATATTGTTAGTCCTAATTGTTATAAATTAGATATAACGTGATATAAATTAGATATAACTTGGTATAAAATAGAACTAACAAGCCATCAGTTAGAACTGACACTAACACGCTACAGATTAGAACTAACACTGTGCACATTAGAACTAACACGCTACAGAATAGAACTAACACGCTGCAATAACTTCGTTAAATTAGAACTAACCTTTAATGGCTATATTGTTTGTTCTAATAGCTATTATGTCAGTTCTAATCAATGCACTGTTAGCTCTAATGGTTATATTGTTAGTTCTTTTAGTTCTAATTGATTCTAACAGCAAGCAATTGTCGTTTTTGCTTTTTAGCTTTTGCTATTATCTGTTGATACTTCTACTATTTGTGTAGTTTATGATTAATTTTTTGATGTTCTTAATATTTGTAGCGCTTCCAGTAGTTTGAACTCAAAAAGTGTAGGCTGTGGCCCGTCGGCGTTGTGGACCACAAGTGTTCCAGATAAGAATCCCAATGACAATCCTTCCGGAAATGATGTCATGACGATTGATGACATGATTAGCAGATCAGAGAGGATTCCTGCTTGGTGGCACACAGCTTTAACCGGTGAGGGACAACGATTTGAAAGTGCGAAGGAGTTAAGATTGGCCTTGCTATACTACTCCATGGTAAAGAAATTCGAATACGAGTTTGGGAAGAATGAACCGAAGCGTATTCGAGTGTTTTGTCGGTTTAAGGAAGCAAAAAATTGTCAGTGGATGTTATTTGCCTCTCCACCGAAAAATGATAATAGACTTGAAATCAAAAGGTTTGTGGACAATCACAGTTGTGGGTAGCATGGCAATAATGCTGGTCAATCTAGAGCCTCTAGGCGATTCATTGCTACCCAATTACAACCCACGTTAAAGGTTTGACCGGATTTACGACCTATTGACGTTCAAAAGGAGTTTCTAAGCTCGTATGGGATTATGGTCGATTATACTAAGATATGGTAGGGTAAAGAAAGAGCACAAGAGAAATTATATGGTGATGCCCATGAGTCCTACGATCAATTACGATGGTAAATAGAAGATAATATCTAACAAAAGACAAACTAATTTCCTTTATGTGACATTGATTATACTAATTTTTCAATGTTGGTACTAACGCTTAATCTTCAATTTTCTAGGTATGTAGAAGAGGTCAAGAAGACAAACCCAAGTAGCTATATTCATGTTGAACAATATGAGGGGAGGTTTACAAGGTTATTCATATGCTACGCCGCCTGCAATATTCATGTTGAACAATATGAGGGGAGGTTTACAAGGTTATTCATATGCTACGCCGCCTGCATAAATGATTTTTTATACGGATGTAGACCACTCTTATTTTTGGATGATACCTTTCTTAAAGATCGATTCAAAGGCATACTCCTAAGCGCCGTAGCATATGATGGAAATCAGGGGATATTTCCATTGGCGTATTGTATATGCGATCAGGAAAATAATGTTAACTGGAAGTGGTTCTTACAAGGTTAGTTCTATCCCTAGCCATGTTAGTTCTGTTGCAGGTTATGATAATTCTAGCTCATTCATTGCTAACTCTAATTCGTGTATGGTAACCACAACTCTTTGTAGGTTTGTGGTCTATTCTCTATGAAAGGCCAGATCCATACAACCCTCCACACAAGCTAGTGATAATTTCAGATGCGGATAAGGGGATCAGAGAAGCAGTTAGAGAATTTTTTCCAGATTCTATACACTCTCGATGTGTGTTGCATCTAGTTGAGAACTTCAGGACAAAGTTGAAGGATTTGGGATTCAAATCAAAAGATACTCAGATCTTGGGTAATCTATTGCAATCTGCCTGTTACAAATATACTAGAGCAGAATGGAACGATTACATGGACGACATTAGACTGGTTGACGAAAGAGCTTATAATATTGTGATGAACTACGCTCCAGAGAACTGGGCCAATGCGTTTTTCCCTGGAGTTAGGTAAGTTATAAGCTATTTCATTACATGACTATTATAAGCCGCTTGACGAATTCCCTATTATGTTTCAGATATGGTCACGTTACGTAAAATGTTGCAGAGTCATTCAACAAATGGATACATAAGGCTAGGCTACTACGGATACTTCAACTGGTAGAGCACATACGTAAACAGATTATGGTTCGTATGAATGAGCGACAAGTCATGGCTGAAAGCTGGAATCAATTTCTTTACCCCAAAGCTGAACTTGCTCTCAAAGAGAACATGGAAAATGGCCGTCCATTGGAGGTTCGTCAGTCCCACACAGGATTATTTGAGGTACAATCCCATAGATCTTGTCAAGTGGATCTAGACAATAAAACATGCACTTGCCGTGGGTGGGATGTAACCCGTGTCCCTTGCAAACATGCATGCGCATCCATTATGTTTATGAAAAGGGATGTCTACCAGTTCTGTGACTGGTTTATGACGGTTGAAGCCTTTAAAAAAAGCTATGAACTAATCCTCTACCCTATCCCTGACTTTGAGAACCGCATCGTGCCAATGGATGAGATACAGATCCTACCTCTACTTACAACAAAAAGGAAAGGGAGAAATAAAACCAGGCGTATCAACAACAGAACTGTTTACACGCGGCCAGTAAAATGTTCTCGATGTCATATGGAAGGTCATAACCGTAAACGCGGCCAGTAAAATGTTCTCGATGTCATATGGAAGGTCATAACCGTAAAACATGTAATGAATCTATAGCAGACTAAGTGTTTGATATGTTGAAGTGTTTTCGTCCCAATATACAACAAATATTTTATTTTTTGCCGATTGAGTGTTTGATATTCTTGTTTATTCTAATAGAACTAATATAAATTAGATATAACGTGGTATAAATTGATATAACGAGTAATAAAATAGAACTAACAAGCCATCACACGCTACAGAATAGAACTAACACTATGCGGATTAGAAATAACACGCTACAAAATAGAACTAACACTGTGCAGATTAGAACTAACACTCTACAGAATAGAACTAACACTGTGCAGAATAGAACTAACACTCTACAGAATAGAACTAAATTGGTATAAATTAGAACTAACTTGGTATAAAAATAGAACAAACTTTGTTTAAATTAGAACTAACTTTGTATAAATTAGATCTAACGTTGTATAAAATAGAAATAACTTGGTATAAATTAGAACTAACTTGGTATAAATGAGATATAACGTGGTATAAATTAGGTTTATAACATGGTATAAAATAGAACTAACATAAATTAGATATAACGTGGTATAAATTAGACATAACGTGTAATAAAATAGAACTAAAAATAGAACTAACATAAATTAGATATAACGTGGTATAAATTAGACATAACGTGTAATAAAATAGAACTAGCAAGCCATCACACGC